CTGACTTTGGTCAGTCCCGGCACCAGCGCGGGCTAAACGTCCCACAGACCGCATCGGCGTCCACGGCCCGCAGGAAGTAGGCGTCGGGGGGGGGCGTCCGGGCTCGTCGGCTGGCATGTGATGCGCGTCCGTGCCGGTCGTGAGGAGCACGGCGGTCAAGGCGGAGACCTGCGCCGCCAGACGGGTCGTCGTCGTCGTTCAGGTAGTTGCCCAAGATAGAGGGGGGGGGGGGGGGGGGTTGGCGCGTGGTGATGGGGCGTGCTGTTCCAATATGGACTTCTACAACAACAGACATTCGAGCCCATCGCAGGATGTTGGTGAGCTTAAACATGGCAGATAAAAGGAAGATACAGTCACAAAACGATGGTGGGCACAACGAGACTTTAATCACACAAAGCAAGCGTTGTCAATGTATGTGTACAAAAAAGAATAAGATATAAAAATAAAGAATCCTCCTGGTACTCTTGACAGGTCTATGCGGTTTCGAGCCCGCACATCGCGCCCTACAGAAAGCCGCCCATGGTATTGCCATCATCATAAAGACAACGGCCAGGATGTTATGATCTAGTGTATAGAGAACTCAAGGCGATTCAACGCAACACCCATAGAACAAGACATGCATGGTGGCTACGGGGGCGAATGCTAGAGTACAGTACCGCCCTTGGCGGGCTTTTCTTGTACGGGCGTGTCCTCGCCAGCGCGCGTTACCTCGGTGTCCTCGCCGTCGACGACGGCAATGTCCTCCTCGACGACGGGCTCGTGCAGGGTGGTGGGCACAAAGTCTTCGTCAGTACCGTCGTATCCGCGGCCGCTATTAGTGCCTGAGCTGTCGGTGATCTTCTGCTTCGTCTCAGCGACAATCTTGTCCGCCTCGGCAGTCGTCTTGCCAGCGGCCGTCTCGGTGGCGGCGTCGGCGACGCCCTTGCTAGCTTGCTGCATCGCGTCCTTGTCGAGGCGGACGACCATGCAGGACAGGTTGTCGGTGCTGAGATGGTTGAGGGCGTGCTCGACAAGGAGCTTGGAGGCGGCGGTGGGGTCCTGCATATTGCGGACGAGATCCACGGCTTCTTGATCGCCGCATACGTCCCAGAGCTGAGGCGGTTAGTAAGGTCGCTTTCTATACATACAAGTGCACATACCCCATCGCAAGCAATAATGATAAATTCGTCGAGCTCGGGTTGGATGACAGTCTCGGTGGTGTAGGGATGCCCAGTCACAAGGTCCTTCATGTAGGCATCGCCGAGGGCGCGAGTGACGGCCAAGACGCCATTGACGCGGTTATTCAAAATTAAACCACCAGCATTGGAAATGCGTTTACCCTCATTCTCATCGCTGCCCTTGTGGTCGTATGACAAGCGAAGAGCCTTGCCGTTACGACATAAAATAATGCGGGCATCGCCGACGTTGGCAGTGTATAGAACGCGCTGTTTGTTCAGCTGAGGTTTTGACGGCCCCGGGGTAGGGGCCTCCTTGTCGGCCGAATTGGCTTTTTCCACATCACTGTTGGGCTCGGCGAGCTTGCCATTCTTGGCGGCGGGCATGGCAATGGTGGGAACGGCAACATGATGGCGGTCACTGGCAGAGCGCTTCTCCCAACGCAATACGGCAATAGCAGCAGTACATCCGCTGTTTTTAAGAGGAAGCTTTTCTAGCTGGGCGTCGCAACTCGTAAATGTCTGGTCGAGAAGCTCGGGTAGGGGGGCATTGGGGTTCTTCTTGACAATATCTTGGAGAACAAGGTGGAGCTTCTTTCCGCACCAGTCGGCGGCAAAGGTACCGGCGTGGCCATCAAAGATGGCAAAATATCCATTGTCAGACTCGGCGACTTCGGTACTTGACGCATCGGTGGAGGACTTGTCCGACTTGGCGGTGGTGGTGGCGTCAACGGCTTGGGCATCGATAAAATTGTAAAGAAAAGCATGGGTATCTTCCATGGTACGGCGACATTTTCTATTGCGGTCTTCCCAGACACCGACGCGAAAGGTGGACTTGGGGCCGGGGACAGAATCGCCGGCCGAGTTGTTTTGGTGGCCCTGGGGGACGGCCAGGGCCGGGTCCTGCTTGGCGAGTTTCTGAATGGGAGAGGCCATGTCGGGGCTCTGGCGGGAGCTTGGAGAGAAGCCAAACGAGCTTCGGGCTGAGGCGAGGAAACTGCTGGCCTTGCTGCTCACGCTGCTGCTTCGGCGTTTCTTGTCTGTAGAGCCGCCGTTATCCTGCCTGGTGGGCGGACTCCCATTGGTGTGGCGCTTCTCACCACTGGCTGGCTGGTCGGTCGTCTTGGTGGCAGCTACGGCAATGGGCTGGGGAGCAGTGCCGTTGGGGGAGGGAGACGTGCGGTCAGAGGCGGGGTTGGGATCGACGTTTGAATCTATCGAGTTGGAGTTGGAGTTGGAGCCTCCAAACATTCTATTGAGCAGACCTCCTCCGTGAGAGGAGAAGCTGCGACGCTTGGAGCCTGCCAGCTTTGTGGAGGGCTCGTGCGATGGGAGATGAAGAGGCTCGGGTTCGTCGGTCTCGTTGCAGAGGATCCGATCGAGAGGTTGGGCGGGCGTCGGGTGTCAACCGGCGAGCGAGACGGCAACGGCGGAGTCGGGTTTAAGGGTAGACGGCCGGCGGGACGGAAATAGAGACGCCGAGGCAAAATGGGAACAAATATAGGACAAAGTATATCGCGGATATGGCCTGGTAAGGAGTCGGGGTGCAGGATGCTGGCAATGGATGGTAAGCGGGCTGGCGGACTGTTGCGGGTGAGTTGCGAAAGGCGACAGTCGAGGGGACTGAGGGAGGAGGGGTGGAGGAGATAGCGGCCGAGCTTGGTGGGGTTTGTTTGGGCAATGATGTCGCGGCGGGATGTCGCGGGTAAGGGTTCAGGGCGAGCGGGAAGAAGCAGCACAATGCTCCGGAACTGGAAAGGATGGCAACAAAGGGGAAAGAGACAAGAAATGGCTCCGAACAAGTGGCTGGTGACAGACGCAGACTGGCAACAACCAGGTGGTGGCACGGGGTTTGCGAGCAGGCAAGGGATCTGGGACAGATTGTCTGGGCCTAACGGGCGGCGCGTGCGCACGTACCTTGTAGCAGATGAGATGTTGCGACAAAAAGGATGCCGCAAGAGGAAGAAAAGGTCGGCAAGACGACCGATCAAGATGTGAAAATGGTGGCCTGGGAGGAAGCACGTAAGCGCTTGTAAGATGCAAAAGAGGCAATGCTGCGAGTGTTTGGCGTGACACTGAAGTGGTCAGCAGCGGCAAGCAGGCGGATACAGGTACGTAAGGTACCGACTTTGAGGCAACTGTACCCTGGACGGGGTAGAGAGGGAGGTGCAGCACCTACAAGAACTAGTTACCAGGAGGTATATTAGTAAATGAGATATTTTTCAGCAAATATCATTGGTAACACGTTTTGTATTCAAATTCCAAGGATGATTTCCCAAATCCACAATCCCGGGCAGCACTATTCATGGCGATTACGCGGTGATGTGCCCTGGGTCGCTGTACTCGACTACCTACTCGAGCGCTACTGCCTACCCCAGCCACGTCGCCTGGTAAGTGCCGACCCAGTACTCTGTGCCCCCAGTACAGGTACCTGAGCACAAGTACCTTGCCGCCTGCTTAAAGCGACAGTGGTACCCGGCGGCGGCTCAATGTAGGGACACTCCCTACAACTGCGTGTCATAATTCAGCCATTTCCAAAAATAACCCGATTCATTTAACCAATTCACCATCACGGCCTACTTCTCCCTAACTAGCGCCCCGCGCATCCGCATGCCCCAAACTATATTCGGCGGGTACCGTGTTGCCTTTGGTGCCTCTGGTGCAAGTTGCAAGCTTGTACAATAAGTTGTAGCCACTATAACCACGAATTATCTACACTTTGCTGCTACGCGACGAATTGGCCGGCCCTAGTCCCGCCTCCTCTTACCCCAGAGTCTGTCCAGCATGCCCGATCGTGTTGGCGGCGAAGCTCTCCACATCATCTATGACGCGCTTCTTACTCCCTTGAACAGCCTCTCAACTCACGCGACAACGCTTCGGTGTTGCACCTGCAGACTACCTTGGGTAGTCAGCCACGTCACCAGCATTCAAGAATCTTCTGGAAGAAGGATGGATTTCTTGTGAATTTCTAGGCTAATGCCTCTCAACAGTCTCCCCTTGGAGACACGAACCCCAAAACTCTGCTTCTGCCTCAGCTTGAGCTGCTTGAAATGCACTGCAAACGAATAGGATTTACGCAATTCCTATATCGACTACATTGTTAAGATCACTGGCGCGGTTTTATCTGAATCCGAAACCTCAAACATGTCTCTGCCCTCAATAGTTACCAAACTTGCACTCCAACGACTGGGTACTGGGTAGATCCTCCCAGCTGTGGCATCTTGTTTTCCCTGCTTCCGTAAAAATCTACATCAGCATCTATTTCGATCCGCGCTATGGTTATGATGTTGAGATACAACCCGCAGATAGTCAATGTACTTTTTAATGCATGTAGTTTATTTTTCTCGTCGCACCCCTAGTCCTCTTTCTAGGCTTGTCCCGCAGCCTGTATCACACACACACACATACATACCCTGTATTGTCTCGTCTGACTTGTGATGTGCCGCCCCCGTCACCACTAGCTACAAGCCACTCGGAAGCATCGAAACGCACATGGGGGAATAATTGACTCGCACTTCTCCGCCGTAGTTCCCTGAAGCCTCCTCACCGCGGTTGTCGCGGCTTACCCGCGGACCCAGCATCCATATTCCCCGCGATCGGCCCGGGCAACCCCACGAACCCGGCTCGGGCTACGGAGGATGCGCCGGCGTTATGAGATCGACTTCCTTTCCGTATGATTTACAGAGAGGAACATCTTGGAAGTTTGAAACTTCTGATTTCTTGGTCCGCCAGTGACTAACGAGGGGAGGCTCTAGCCAAGCCCGTCCACACAAAGAGTCTCTTCCCGGGCCATACAATGTGATACGGGCAGCTAGAGGAATGGCTGTATATAAGTTTCGGCTTGCCGAATAAAATCAAATAGACAATGGGGAAATTGTAACAGAAATAGGTAGCCGTCCACCTTCACTCGTAACGGCTGTAGCATCGCTTCATCTCGGCATCTTCATCCGTACACCACTCAGCATCACTTTCGCAGATTATCCAGCCTTGCTTCCAAATCGTTGTCGACAGGATCGATGTCGCCTCCACCGCCGCCCCCGCCAACCGCCTGTGCAATTCTGCCCTCGGGCTGGACGGGGTTTCCGATGGTCGTGGGCGTCGCTCCAAGCTACAGCATAGGTCAGCATTGTGTCTGTATCTCGAGTGAAGGCACGTACTGCTTGATTGAATTCGATGCCAATATCCTCCAATACTTGCTCGACAACCTCGTCGCCTTCCTCCTCGACACCAACGTCCATGGCGTCGTCGACGGCGTCGTCCATCATTTCTTGTCTCTGCTCCATTATGTCGTTTTCTCGTTCGAATTCCATGGCGATGCGTTGCAGCTGTGGCAGGTTCATCGACTTGTTCATGCTTCCGAGTGCCATTGTAGCGCCCTTCATGGCCTGCATCATTTGCTCGTTGGTTCGATACGTCTAAGGCGGGGGAGAATTAGCAAACAGGGCTTCTGGGGGCGAGGTGGCGTCGCCGGCGTACCTGGAGACGCAATGAAATCTGTTGCAGCTGGCTGCGCATGCCGTAAAACTTTTCGACATATCTCCTCGTGCGAACGAGATCCTTGGCCTGGATCTTGCAGGCACCCATCTGGCCGTTCTTGGCGCTCGTCTTGATCTGTTGGATGAGCGTCTTTTCTTGCTTCTCCAGCTTGACACGGGTCTGGTCGAGCTCGCGGATGGCCTTGTCAAGCATGCGCTGGTTCTTCCGCAGACGCTCCGCCGGCGTGACGCGCTTGCCAAAGGCCCATTCGAGCATCTTCTGGCGGTTAGCAGCTGGGGATGGGCGATGCCATGGGCGGGTGCATGGGCGCTCACATTCATCGTGTCGCTGGGCAAAGGCCTTGCCTTGTATGTGATGGGCCGTATTCAGCAGGCAGTTTGGGAAATGTGGCGGGTCGGTGCTTCAATGTCGAGGGAGGAAAGCTAGAGTGGTGGCCGTGGTGATGTGATAGGATAGATAATGGTGGGATACAATCTGTCTGCCTGCGCAACTTCGCAACTACGTAACGGGTGGTCGTGTGGCCGACCACTGTAGAGTCACTAGACCCACTTGAATACCAGTTGCTTGTAAAAACGCTCATGGTGAACTGTAATTTGTAGCTTGTGATGGATTACATTTTTATTTGTATGCTTATGAATGATACTGTTAAAGTACGGAATTGTTTATGAAATGGGTTTATTTATTCTTTTGCGTGACCGTGCTGCCGCGTTGAAGGGCCCGGAAGGACTGTCCGCCGGCTGCGTTGATATGTGGAATCAGGCACGGAACTGCTGTAAGGAGTACAGTTGCCGAGCATAACGCCTCGTCCGAAGAGCGAATGTGGAAGAAAGATCTGTCGTGACCTAGAAGCTATGCACATGTTGCTGTGCAGATAATTCCGGCATTGGTCAAGTAGACGCGCTGCTTAGAGGGCATGTCCATCACCCACCGTATTCATAGAATCGCATGTAGCAAGTTCGACCCTCGTTGTAATTACAAGGTTTTCAGATAAGAAGATGGCAATGCCATATATTAATATATTAATTTCGTACCTTGCGTGGCATTGCTGCATTGCTGCATTGCTGCCAACTTACAGCACAACAGCGAACAGTGGACTCGGCGGCGCACTGGCCAATCAACGGCCCACGCTCCCCAGCGGGCAATTTGCCTCCCCGAATCAAATACATCACGCCACGGTCGGGGGCGACTCGTCCTGCTTCTCACATCGCAACGTCACCACAGCTTGCACCCTTTCTCACTCAACACTCGCATCGAAATGCTACCAGCCAGGCTTGTATCGCTATGAGCCAGGAGTATGCAAATGCCAAGGGCAAAGCCCCTGCGCCGCAGGATGCTGAGCCCATTGCCAGTAACACCGCGGCTCGCCACACCAACGACACCAAGTTCATGACGGTCGGCAACGGCGTCGCTTCGGAACACGCCGCCCATCTGCAGCACTTGATTGACATTGATTCCGGATATGGCGGAAGCACTGCCGGGGATGACCAGACCGCCATGACGGGCTCAAACTGGGATGCGCCCCTGCAGCACGAGCGACAGTCCGGAGTCGTCCATCAGATCTGGTACAACCGCCAGCGCACCGCCCTCGGCCGCTCCATCAACAAGGTTCTCGAGCTATTGAATAGTCTTCAGGAGACAAATACTTCGTGGCCTGCCCACTACCCCTCCGTACAGCGTTCGGACCTCGAGGCCAATGCCACGCGACCGGGCCTACAGCGCATCAGCACCATGGCCCCCGATGCCGCCGCCTCGACTTCTTCGGCGCGAGCACAGCCTCCAACCCTCCGACGGGCCATGACATCTCTCCAACATGGCGCCCCCGAGTCTAGCGCCGCTGCCGAGCGAAGAACAACCCCCGAACCCAGACTCGTCTCACCACAAATCGCACAAGAATTCTCCATCCTCAAACTCGACCTGAAGCTAGGCTCTCTACACCACACCGAGCTCGTCCACTCGCTAGAAAAGCATTCGATTGCTGCTCTTCTTGACGGCAAGATTGCCTCGAGCATCAAGCACCTTATTTCCCTCCGAGAACGCATCGAAGACACGACAAGTAAAGTGCTCATTACCGGAGACTTGAACGCAGGCAAATCAACCTTTTGCAATGCGCTTCTTCGCCGGAAGCTGTTGCCCGAAGACCAGCAACCATGCACCGCCATATTTTGCGAAGTACTCGATGCAAGAGAAAATGCTGGCCTGGAGGAAGTCCATGCTATTCATAGAGACGCCATCTATAACCGAAGCGACGAGAGCACCTACGACGTATTCGCTCTGATGGACCTCGAAAGGATTGTCGGTGACAACGACACATATACACAATGCAAGATTTTCGTCAAGGATGGCAGAACGATTGACGAATCACTGCTCAACAACGGTGTTGTCGACATAGCACTCATTGATGCCCCTGGTCTCAACTTTGACAACACAAAAACCACTGCCATTTTCAGCAGGCAAGAAGAGATTGACGTAGTAGTATTTGTCGTCTCGGCTGCCAATCACTTCACACAGTCTGCACAAGAGTTTATCACAACAGCGGCCGCTGAGAAGGCCTATATTTTCATGGTCGTAAACGGCTACGACAACATACGAGACAAGGAGCGCTGCCAAAAGACCATACTGGAACAAGTCGGCAGGTTCAGCCCGCGCACTCGAAAAGAGGCCGACGAGCTAGTTCACTTTGTGTCCAGCAATGCCATCCCGCTTGGCCCGTCGCCTCCAGGAGGGCCAGGCGGCGGCGGCAGCTCCAGCGGCGGCGGTGGTGGAGAAGACCCAGACGACGGTGGCAAGGGCAAGGGCAAGGATCTGGACAAGATCCGGGACTTTGAGGCCTTGGAACAGTCCCTTCGCAGATTTGTCCTGGAAAAGCGCGCGAGGTCCAAGCTTGCTCCCGCCAAGACGTATCTTGTCAATATCCTCAACGACGTCAACACTCTTGCCATTGTCAACCAGGAGGTCGCCCGCTCTGAGATTGACCGCGTCGCTCGTGAGCTCAGAGAACTGGAACCCCAGTTAGAATCGACCAGAAAGGCCAGAACCGAAGTAGATGATCAGGTCAACACCAGCATTGAAATCACATGCAAGGAAGTCTATGATGATACCCGCTCTCAACTCACAACTGCCATTACTGAGTCTGGCAAGACCAAGTACGACATACCATATCCCGGCTTGTTTGGTGCCTTTGCATACGCCGAAGACCTGAAGGAGGCCATGCTGTCGCAAATATCCGAGGCAGTGCATATCTGCGAAGACGCAGCCAGACAGCGGACAATGCGTGGCGTCAACACCATCAAGCAGCTTGGCTTACTACATATCGGCGATGAGTTCCAAAACCTGCACTTCAAGCCCGAGGTCATGTTCCGTCGCAAGCGCGATGCTCTTGCGCGCAACGTTCACATCCCCACGCAGTTTTGGGACTTTTTCGACTTGTCCACCATTCTGCACAAGCAAGAAAAGCTGGCCAGCACGAGCATGGCCCTCACCGTTGCCGGCGCCATCGTGCCGCGCATGATTGGCATGGGCAGCTGGATGGACCAGGCCCTCACGGCGACCAAGGTGCTGAGCAACGACAACCTGCGCCAGCTGATTCTGCCCGGCATCGTCATTGCCGCCGTGGCCGCGTCGGCGTATGTCCTTCAACAGATCCCCAACTCCCTCCCGCCGCGGCTCGCGACCAAGATTACGCAGCAGCTGGCTGACATGGACTACGTGCACGGCAACTCGGCCCGCATCGCCTCATCGGTCCGCAAGGTCCTCCGCTACCCGGCGGATAATCTGCGCGTGCGCCTCGAGCAGAGCGTCAAGGAGCTCGATCACCGCCGCGACGAGACGGTCCAGACGCGCGCCGAGAGCGAGCGCGCGGCCAACTATTTTGGCGACCTCGCTCTCAAGAGCGAGATGGAGCGCAGCAAGGTCAACGACGTCGACCTCGATGCGCCGCCGCCAGGCCAGCACTGAATAAGGAGCGTTTCAAAAAAACGGGCAGCAAGTTACGTGACCTTTCCGTACCGGGGCATGATGAGTATGAGCGCTGGGCTGGGGAAAGGTGGACTGTGAAGGACGTTTTGCGGCACAAGCTGGAGTCCGCGTTTGTTTTCTTTGGGATTCCTCGTCTCCGGTGCATTTTCGCCATGGCACCACTACAGCAGTCTTGCGAGGCGAGCTGGATATATATAACTGTGAAAGATTTGATCCTTTGTTCCGGTCTACTTTTTTTCTTTTCGAACACCCTTTTCGGCGGCTTGCTACAATGACGATGGCAAAATGAGGTTCGAATCGAACAAGCTGCATTCCTAGAAATAACCATTCCGCTCAGCATATTTTACTGCGGTATTCGATAGCGCAGTAGTTGACATGCTCGAAAAGAGCGTTTTCAGAAAGTCCTGTAATAGTGAATACATCTTGTGACGCCCCAAGGGTTCATCTCATCTACCCATGTTGCTTGCTCTACGACGTCCACATGACGGATCGAAGCCACTCTTTGTCGTCGTCGCTTCCAAACGTCGCGTCAATGGCCTCGCGCGCGAGTGAGCAGATGGCCGCGCGGTCGAGGTGGAAATGCTCCGCGGCGAGCGCGTACTCGTTGGACAGCGGGCTTCCAAACACGCCCACGTCATCCGTCTGCCGTTGAACCGTTAGCAACAAACCTCGCCCAAGAGAGACACGGGAAACCAAAAAAAAAAAAAAACAACCCGCCACACACATACCCCGAGCGAGATCTGGACCGCGTCCACCGTGCGCCAATACCCAAAGTGGTGGTCCGCGAAGCCGCCGGCGCCAGCGCGGACCATGCCCGCCTTGACGTTGCAGCTCAGGCAGAGCTCGACGCACAATCCCCTCGCAGCAATCTCGCGGCGCGCCTCGTCGTCGACCCAGATGACGTGGCCGAGGCGGCGGGGCTGCCAGCTTAGCAGCAGCGCGAGCTCCTCGCGGGCGCCCGCCGGCTCAGCCTCGCCAAAGTGCACGGCGAGCGGCAGGCCGGCGGCGCGGGCGCGCGCAAACACGGGCTCGAAGACGCGCACGGCGCCGCCGCAGCGCGCCGTCGGGTCGCCGCAAAAATCAACGCCCACGACCACGCCGCCGGGCTGCAGCGCGGCGGCGAGGTCCACGACGGCGGCCGCGGTGGCGACGTCGTGCCGGCGGTCCACGGAGAGCAGCAGCCGGGTGCGCATCGTCGGGTGCGCGGCGTTGAAGGCGCTGATGGCGCTGATGATGGTGCGCGCGTAGCCCGCGAGGGACAGCTCCGGCGTGGCGCGCGGCGTCGTCCGCAGCTCCAGGTACACGACGCCGTCGGCGTGGAAGTCGCGCAGCACGGCGGCCGTCATCTCCGCGAGCGAGGCGGCGTCGCTGAGCAGGTTGTAGATGTAGCTGCTGAACAGCGGGAAGAAGCTGGCCGGGACAAGACAAAAAAAGAATCAGCTTGTGGGCGCGGCGTTTGGTGGGAACGACGGTGCGGAAAGAGGGGGGCAGGGCAAACAACTGCTCACGCTTGCACGCTAAAGTCGTGTTTGCCTTCGGGCAGCAGCTCCATGGGATCCTGCATGTCGGTCTCGCCGGCGTCCTTTTTGCGCCGCCATATGTCGTGGAGCGTGCGTCGCGAGACGCTCCCCGTGAGGTGGGCGTGAAGCTATCGCGGGGTAAGTAAGGCTGTCCGTGCTCGTGTGACTGCGACCCCGTTTGGGTCAGGGAGGGACCAGCGTACCTCGATTTTGGGCAGTGCGACGTAATCCATGCCTTGATCTCTTCGAATCGGGTTATGAGGTGAAGACGGCAGAAATTCCTCAAGAGAGCCCTTGTCCGCACGCAGAAGACTTGGGCGCTGTGGGCCTAGTACCCGACGTTGCACAGCTGATGCAATCAATGTCTTGGATGTATGTATGTAAGCCACACATCACGGGCTGATAGGCCAGGTTTATACAGATCAGTTTACGGATATACCCAGTTTTATATAAATCAGCTTCCCCGCAACTCTTGGGATATACATGGAGCGCAGCTGCAGCATGTTATCGCGCCAGCCAATCTGGCGCGTGCTTCGTGCCCAACGAGCACTCACGAGCGCAAGTCTCGGAATGGCCATTTTTACTCTGTATCCATGGAACCCTGGCCCAGCAGTCTCCCGGGCCACCACGATGTGCATATGCACGAGAACACTTATTCCTTACCTCGGGAGCAAACAAAGCAAACAGCAGACTTTGACCTGCAGCCGCCCGGCGCTGGTCAACCGCCGTCATCCTCCTACGTGGCTCTCTTGTTCACGAATAAAAAGGCCCTCCTCTGTCGCCATGCAATCACTCGTTACATAAATCGTCTGTTCGACGGCTGGTGCTGCTCGAGTCCGCCATCCAAGCCGCCATGCTCCTCCAACTGCCGCCCGAGCTGCTCACCAGCGTCTGCGCCGTCCTCCCCAACAGCGACATCAAGACGCTCCGCCAAACGTGCTCGGCGCTCAGCAAGCGCGTGCCACTGCGTCTCACGCGCGTCTTCCTGTCGCCAAACCCGCTCAACATCAAAGTCTTCCGCGCCGTCGCCGACCACCCGCACCTGCGGCTCGGCGTCTGCGAGATTGTCTACGACGACGCCCGTCTCAGGACCAGCTGGCTGACGAGCCACCTCGACGACGACGACGCTCCCGCCGAGGCAGCAGTAGCAGCCGACCAGACGCCGTTTGAGCGCTACCGCCAGCGCACCGCCGGCCGGGCACCCGCGCCGCCTTCACCAGCAGACCGCCGCGCGCATGCCGAGCGCGCCGCGCAGCACTGGTTCCGCACGACTTGCCGCCGCGACGGCGACGACGCTGCGCTGCTTCCGTGGGCGCAGTGCTGGCCCGTGTACGCCGCGCTGGCCCGCCGGCAGCTGCGCGTCGTGGCGGCCGGCGCCGACGAGCGGGCGCTCGCGTACGGGCTCGCGCGGTTCCCGCAGCCGCGGCGCGTCGTCGTCACGCCCGCCGCGCACGGCGTCGTCCCGCACGCGCCGCTGTACCAGACGCCCATGATCCGGGCACTGCCTCCGGGCGGCTTCTGCTATCCGCTGCCGCGCGGGTGGCCCTGCGTGGCGGGGGCCAGCGCCGCCAGCACGCTGCCGTGGCGGGCGGCCGCCGACGGCGAGCGGGGCCCGCGGCGACCGAGGCCGAGGCTGCGCGGCAGTGCTGGCGCGGACTGCGCATAGTGCTGAAGCAGCTGGCCGAGGAGGTCGCCGTGCGCCGGCCGCCCGCGCTCGTCGTGCCGGAGCTCGTCGTCGACGTGCACGGGCTCAACACGGGGCTGAACCCGCACCTGTTTGCGCAGCCGGGCGACGACTACGCCCACTTCGCGACCATCCTGTCGCAGCCGGGCTTCCGCCGCCTGGACCTGCCGCTCATGCTGGGCGGCCTCGTCGCCGAGCGGTGGGCGTGCCTGGTGGGCGGCTGCTTCCGGGCGTTGCTGGCCAAGGCCCGGGACCTGGCGCATTTCCGCCTCGCCGGCGATGCAGACGATGGTGGCGACGACGCGGCGGTCGTGGTCCCGCCGGGGAGCACACGGCACTGCCCGCTGGCGCGCATCCTGCCGGTGAGCCGCTGGCGGAGGCTGCGCCACTTTGGCCTGTACCGCGTGCCGGTGCAGACGGAGGACGTGCTGGCCGTGCTGGCGGCTCTGCCGGAGAGCGTGCGCTCGGTCGAGCTGAGCTTTTTGCTGTTTGTGGAGGGCGAGGGGGCGAGCTATCGGCGGCTGCTCGAGGAGATGAAGGCGCGGCTGCGCTGGGGCGCCAGACGAGTCGAGGACAGGCCGCAGGTGCGCATTGGGCTGCCGGTGAGGGGGGACGAGCAGCCTGGTCGTGGCTTGTGGCTCGAGAAAGAAGTCTCTGCGTTCTTGTACGGTCACGGGCGCAACCCGTTTCCCTCGGGCGCTTGCAGGGCAGAATACGGCATGGGCATCATAATGGATGAGTTTGAGCCGGAATACGAGCAGCCTTATGTCGACACATAGAGATGATCAAATGAGGCAAGCACTCCTCTGAAACGGAACATGTCCAACGGCAAATCAGCTTTGTAGGAATGTAGCTATACTGGTGCTCGACAATCCTGAACTTGTTCAAGAACCCCGCGCGAATGTACGGGCTTCAGCTAGAATCCAGCCTACTATAGAATCCATCCCGCCTTCGCTGTCGCTCATACAGAAGTGACGCACGTTCGGTCCGCCTAAGAGAAGCTGCATTAGCCGTCAACACTTTCAAAAGCTGGTCAGCACTCACGCAGTATAAGTTCTGGTACTCGCAGCATTTCCAGAATCCAAAGCCGCAAGCGCCGCCCACGCCGCTGCACACGGGGCGTCTCTCCTCCAAGACACCGGCCGAGGCGAGGCTAGCTAACAAGGCAAACGCAACCACGGTGAACTTCATTTCTAGAGTGTGGAATCGGGTATGTAAAGAAGAGTAGAACGCAAAATGGCATGTACCGAGACGTGCCTCATCGACGAGCCGCGACGGGGGCATATATAGAGAAATATTCAGGGCAAAGAGCCCGCCCAAGAAACCTTGACAAATCTCGACATGCAGTCTCGTGTGGCTACATTGAATTCACGGGACCATGTAGTCGCAAAGACGGCCAGAACTGTCTAGCGGCGGCAGCTGCACCCTCAGCTCCTCCAGCTCTACAGGGCTTCACATGAGATAAATGCTCTTCTTCGCCTGCCTTCTCCGGTGGAACAAGCATGTCGTGTTACTTCTCGCCCCCGATGGTCCGCAGATTTCTTCTCAGGGAGCCCCCTCCGGAGATGTTTCAGTCCGGTGGCGAACCTTGGTAACACTGGAATGGAGTGGCTTCAGTCCTCTTGGAGGTTGAAGCAGTGGATAGTACACCGATTCTCGGAGCACAACGTCCGGGGGCTGAGAACGAGAAGCCGTGGTAATGTGGTTCAACACCGGGTTGCCTTGTTCGCGACGGGAATGTGTGAGACGGGTATCGCAGCGTGGCGTTTTCTGGCTCAAGATGCGGTCGGTAGAGTTCCCTTTATGTAAAAGTGTGCATTTCCCAGCAGTTAGTATGCAGCAGCAAGACACCGTCGTCAGCTCGGTCCCCCTCGTCTTCAAAGAACGGGAGGAGCCACGGCGGTGTTCGCTGCCAATGTCCCGCATCTGCACGTAGCAACGCCTGCCTTGCAACAAGAGTCCAAGTAACCTTCAAGTGGAGTCGATATTCAGTTATACAACAGGAGAAAATCTCAAGCCTACGCGAGGCACCGTGGTAATATACATGCGCAAACCCCAATCCCATGAGAAAATGCTGTGAGCTGGTACAAACGCCTCAAAGTTGACAACCTCGTGTGCAAGCATCCCTCTTTCCGAAAATGTCTGAAATCCTCTTTTTGCTTTTCTTGTCTATACATCCCAAAGTACGTCAGTCTGCCAAATGGCCCTTCGGCATCCAGAACTGCCATAAAGAGGCCGTTGAAACTGAACTGGGCATTTCGCATCATGGCAGCCCTTGTGTCTTTTGCTAATTTTACACGCGGTACATCATGTCATCATCACATGGTACCGGGTTCCCGTTCCACACTCAGGCTCTGGGAAGGCCTCTCTGCTTCTTTGGTTTTGCCTGCCGCTAGACAGGTCGCTGGTAGGTTGAGTTGACGATGCTTCCTTTACAAAGCAGGCTTGGCTTGGCCCTGGCCCTCGGCGGCAAGGGCAGCGCCAACGCGGTCGGCGGTGCTCTGCTCCTCGGCGGCGCCGGTCAGCATGTCGCCGCCGCTCTGGCGCATGTTGTACTCCTGCTCCATGGCGGCGTACTGCAGGTCCTCGTGGAACGACAGAGCAAAGGGGACGCCGAGGAAGAGAATCGACGTGGTGACAACCCAGGCGCTCTTGCCGCTAAAGGACATGACGCTCCAGGCGCGGCTAGAGATGGCGCTCGCGCTGTCGGCGATCCAGCCACGGGTCTTGGGGGGCACGATGTCGCGGAGGGCGTAGAGGCGCTCGGCGAAGCTCTCCTCCCGGGCATCGAAGTCGGAGTCGTTGGAAATTTCAGACTCTAGAATGATGCATTAGCAAATGGTCCAACGAAGCCGGTAAGGAGGCAGCGCCATGGCGCAAAGTGCGCCGGCGCAGCCAGTGCAGGCACGTACCGGTATCCGTGTAATCCTCGTCATTCTCGTACTGGGCACCGGGGTGCTCCTGGAAGTGTTCGTCCTCGACCTCGGTAAGGGTAACCATTTTGTCGGCTGTGTATTAATATGGGATAAGGAGAGAAGGCCGTCGGGATGAAGCGCCGACTAAGAGGGATAGGAGGTCGCTGAAGCGGTCGCAAGAGATGAGAGCAGAGGGGATCCTCGGCGAATGAATGACTTGGATGATTAAAGAGGATGAATTACAGTGCCGGTTGTCGAAAGTGCCAATGGGCGAATTAAAGGCTGGCTGGTAGATGGTTGATATGAGCTCCTGACAGCAGTTTAAAAATTTCGGCCTTCGTCATTCTGCTAGTAGGAGTATGTCCAGCTTTGTCAATGTGCACGTGACAGGTGGGGCTTCCTTTTTCCTAGCATTACCGCACTCTGTGCACTGCATAACTACCTAGGTAGGTACACAACATTAGTTATCCCATAACTTACAGATGTCAACAGAGTACAGCGTAGTTGTCCCGTAATTCCTTCAAAATCTATAATTCATCTTGCTTATATGTCCTTCTTTCCTATATTCTTGCATGTCTTACATTTCTTACGTGTCTTGATTTTTTCCTACCTTACGTTATTAGTCGCACCCACACGCCTCGTTACACAAGAGAATTGACCACCTCATGATTTCGTTCGAATCTGCAGCTTCCTCTAGCGGGGACCCCTGGACACCTGAGCCTCGAGAGCGATAATATATTTATTTCTTTAGACTACATATCGTCAGAAGCATTGTCAAACCCACGCGATTCAATTTCTTTCCCTCGCGAAAAAACATGAGCACGCCTGAACTTTCATCTCGGGTTCTAAATTGCGTGGCCCGTGTTACTGGCGAGCCATGCAAATTCATTCTCGATACTCGTGCAAACCCTTTCCAAGGGGGGCAGCGTCTCGTGTTTGCCCTCGAATCGGGGGAGAGCCAGCGGTTCGCGGTTCGTGTGGACCGCAACGTCTCCGAGTTCACTCGGAGCATGACAGAGGAGGAGATCGAAATGCTTAAATCCATGAGAAATCTTCAACTTCCACATCTCCCCTCCCTTGTGCATTATGAGCTCGAGCCGTCTCCGCCTCTGGTCGTAACAAACTGGGTGGATGGACACGAGCTCACATGGTCTGATGCCACGCCTGCACCCCATGTACGAAGACATGTTATACGGACCATCGCTGAGGTAACTCTGGACTTGTTACAGATACAAAGGCCAGGTCTGTGGAATAGTGCCAATTCGCAGGGCATGACTAACCGACCATAGGGATATCGGCGCTAGATTGGATCACGGGAAAGATTACCAGATCGAGGGTCAACCGTGCGGCAGAGGGTAAGCTGCAAGGCGTGTCTTTGTCAGACGCTGAACGTCTGAAATCGCAGATACCCGACTTTCATCTGCCCTGCTTCGACCAAGAGCCTCGAGTTTTGGTTCATGGCGACTTGAAAGCGTCAAACATCATTATGAATGGTGACAAGCTGGCCAGGCAAGTTCTGGCCAGCAAGTTCTGGCCAGCAAGTTCTGCGCAGGCAGTCGAGGTTGCGGCGGCTAATATCTGTACAGCGTGATTGACTTGGGCTTCGCACAGCTGGTTCCGTTGCAATTCGCGACTTTCTACCCGGCATTTCTGACAAACGAGCCGCGCCGGACGGGGGACACCTTCGATTGGTCTTCATGTTCGTATTCCGAAAGGCAAATGGAGGACCGCAAATTCTTCCTTCAGTGCATAAAGGACCTGGCGCCGATCAAGGGCCGCGAGGCGGACGTGTACTTTGAGATCCTCGCCCGAGACGACCAAGAAACGCGGCACTGGTGGCTCTCTGCCGTATCCCGCCTCGACATGATGGTGGCGTTGAATAGCAAGCCGTGAGAAGAAAAGCTTGCAAGACGTGGGAAGAGTTTCCGTCTATAAACCTGCAGGCTTGACTCTCGGGCTGGAGGAATTGGCAGACCTGTTGGGGGAGAGCACTATCTGGGCTTTCAAGATAGGGGTCTAGCCATGTCACAGCTTGTTTCTGACTTTTCTGACTTGTTACCTCTCTTTGTGAGTGAAAGAAGGACGATGCTCGGGTGCGAAAGGAGAAACTCTTCGATTCAACATCTAGGCGCTTGATAATGGCACACCCTGCTAGCGTTCTTCCCAGGCACAGGGTAAGCAGTTCCGCGAGATGAATGTTCATTTTGAAAGAGATTTTGTTTACTCGGATACAAGAGTCCAGAATGCGAGAAAACAGAAGAAGAATCAAGCCATGAACAAGCATGCGAGGCCTCGTGATGTCAAGTCCATGCATCTGTGATGGAGTATGTTCCATAAATGATGGAAGGGGGATGAGAGCCAACAAGGATAAGTGACAAAGCAAGAACATGGGGAAAGGAGGAAGACGCGGCCGGAGCCACAATACACCCAGGATCTCGGGACGCCGTCGAGCGTGGGATTTACCCCGTGGTATCTGCCATTCGACAGGGGACGACGGGAACAAGATTGGCAATTTATTCGTTAGCGTCCGACGGAAAGAGAGGGAACAACGGATGGAAGACCAACAGCAAAGTCAAAAGTCAGTGAGGGCTGACAAAGGTCCAGGGCCTGCCGCCTGAGGTTGAGAAGCGGATTCCGGGGGGCCGTGTGAATGCGGGGGGGACTGGGAGGTTGTTGGGATTTGGAGAAGAGCGGTGCGTGCCACGTCTTGAAAGGTTGGGGAACAAAACTACTACAAACTTGACCAGTATTTTTGACCCGTCACCCTCATTGTTGCGTTATTACCAACGCATGAAAAAAGGCTCATACGATTGAAATGAAACAGAATCGTCACGAGATGCTCCCAAGCTGAGGTGTACGGGATTACAGAGAGAATGCCCACAAGCCAAGAGGACTTTGATTTTTTTGGAGAAGAGGCGCGGTACGGGGCGAGGTACCTGTCCAGGGTATGCGTGTCGCTTAGCTGGACTCGGTACCGCCGGATGTACCGAAATTGGGGAAGAGGCTGGGGGTGTGAGAAGGCGTTGAAACAAAAAAAAAATCGACATGCCATTATTTGAACCGGAAAATGGGAATTAAAAAAAAAAGGTTTGGGAAAATGGCAAGACAGTACTCGGGCCTTGAGCTAGTTTTGGGAGTGTGGATTGTACCTACAATCGATCCTTGCTCGCGGCGGCGCGGGGGAGGAGCGAGAGAGGGGCTGAGGGCATCGTGACCTCGCTGAATTTTCTGTATGGTTGTATGGTTGCCCTTGATCCATGCCTGCAGCTACAGGGCCCTGGGGTGACGACAAGCTGCTGGTCAGTGATACAGTACTTGAGTTGTTCGGGAGAATTGCCGTTTTTATTGTCTTTATTTTTTCATCATCTTGCTCGTAGTTTCCATTTATATATTCCATTTTTTTCTCCTTGATCAAAATCGTGCCTATTCGTACCAAGTGCACTGTACAGATCGCCAGTGTGGTCCTTCACCCGCATCGCTACCGAAAGGGGGCGGAATACAGAGGCATTGACGAATTGACAGGGGTGGGCTCTTCGCAATAACAGCTTCCAATTTCGATCCATCTCCATTTCCATTTCCCTTTTTTTTTATCCTTCCATTCTTTTTCTTCCTTTTTTTTTCTGCCGTCCTCGTGATGGGCACAGTTGCCGGGGGCCGCCCGCCCCAGCTGGGTCCGGGCTCCGTGAAAGCGGGTGGGTGGGGCGCGGCCCTCTTTCGCGATGGGACTTTGTTTTTTCGCAAGGTTCTGGAGCAGAGAAAAAAATAAAAAAAGAAGCTGCAACCTTGCTGAATCGTGCGTTTCGTGTAGGACCACACGATTTCTTACTCGGGGTCGTGTGTGCCTTGAGCTGGGGTTAGGAATTGAGGATGCCTACTCCGTGACCACCAGTTGATCATCACGGCGAAACGCCATGTTTGGTGCCCATGCTGTGCCGCGTCGACTACGCCGATGCCACCTAGAAGACGGCGTAGCAAACGAGCAGACCCGGGGCAGCTACGGCTACTCCGGGCAGGACAGGCGACGACCAGGCTGGTTTGCCGCCCTGCTGCGCCGCCATCAACAACCCAACGACCAAAGCCCGCCCCGGGCATTGCGCCATCCCGGACTGTCACGCACCTTTTCGATTCTCGACTCTGCAACTAACCAAACTAACTACGAATAATACCAAGTAATGAGCCCATCGGCTAGGGGGGATCAACTGGGGGTCAAATTACGAATAATTATACACCAAGAAGAAAGCTGGGGGTAATGGAAACCCCCCCCTCGCATAATGGCGTGCCCATCAGGCTCCGGCCAACTCAGCCGGTGTCATTCTTATGGTGGAGGCCCGATGCCATCCGGAACCTGTGGACCAGTTGTTTTTTTTAACCTTTTATTTGCGAGAGTTGATCACTATTCCACTATTCCTCTGCGGCACTGTTTTCCACGTTTCCGGTGAAAGCTGGTACCCTGTAGTTTTGGCTTGCCGACAACTCCTCATGCATTGTCCTTGTTCCTTTCTTTCCGTGCTCCGTACCTCCGTAGTCTGATGAGCAAGGACGGGCCCCTGATGAGCAAATTCCCGGGCCATGACAACGGGGCAACGCCGTCTCATCCGTCTCAACAACTGCCCGCGCAACCTGGATAGCTAGCCTCGACGATGCCCGTTATTGCAGCATACCAGCAACGTGTCAGTAACACTAACTATTGCAAACTGTGTCAACGACTTGTCGTGTCTCAGCTACGCTGTTGGGCTGCCAGCCAGCCAGCCAAAAAAAAAGCCAATGATGTTATTTCTTGGCGGCAGTCGCAACAGACGAGCGAGTAATACGTTTTGGAAAAGCCTGACTGCCGTGTACTCCGTACTCCGTACGGACCGCCGTACCAGACGTCGATCTGCAAGCGCACACACACACCACAACACGCCAGCAAAGCATCGGCGCAGAGCCAGGCTGTGCCAGCCAGAACCAGCGCCACTGGTGGGCTACTTTGCTATTTTTGAAACATCGCTTGGCAGCACCGAAGCCTTTATCAATCAGCCAAAACGTCGCACGAGGTAACGTCCAATACGGCCCATGGCGGCGGAGGGTATATAACGTATCAAGGTGTTGCAGAGGGCGAAGAAAGCTGTGACCTGTACCCGCTCTTCCCGAGCGGCATTCGCGTGGATGCTCCTCTCCAAGAAAAGAAGGTGGGTGCAGAGTGGCTCGTCAACGAGCTTTGTAATATTTGTATACTTGTATACTTGTAGTCATGTACAGATTCATGATGCGTTGACTCAACGACTGCGAAATCGAGTCGCTTGATCGAACCCGTGCATGGGCCCCAACAAGCGCGGGGTTGAGCTAAAATCCTTTTCTTTTTTCCATCGTAATCAACCATTCTTACACCTGGCCAGTCAGATGTTTGGCATGCCATGAATCTGATACTTGCGACTCAAACTTGAACGTGATGATGAACCTGGCATTGGAGAAAATTTTCCTTTGCTGCACCCTGCGCGTCACGCAAGCATCACCATTTATTTACATGCATCTCTGTCACCCGCTCGACGCCACGGCCAAAAGCCCAATTGCCTGTCCGGGCAAGTGCAGCCCGGTTTGTATTAGCGGACCGGAACCGCCGTGGATACAAATGGCAATGCATGATTAATAGGTGGTTTATTAGCGGGAAAACTATTTCTGTCCTCTTTTTTCAATTTTTACAAAGCAGTTGAACTGTTTTGTTGGGGGCCAGTGATAACTAGTACTTAGGTTTTTGGTAGGTTGATGCACCAGGGCACGCTCAGCTTAGGTACTTGCCGGCTTCCGCGGAATTGTTGGCCGGAAAAAGGGCACCCGTCGCTTTGGCCCATCGGCCATTTATAGTGCTGTTTGGATTTGATTTTAGCAGCCGTTGGCTTTTTCTGCGGGAGGGTAATGCTGGGGTCGATGAACAATACAAAGGCGGTGGGTGCTGGTTGCGTATATCTGTGTCAAGAGGGGATCGAAGAGAGGTATCAGATACAGATACCAAGAGGACTGGTCCACATGGCTCGCAATGGCATTCAATGAATGCTTCTACAGGCCGTGTGATGGCTCACAATGCGTGCGTGTGGGCTAGGATGCATGGCGTGGTGCTAGAAAGAAAGAATGACTGGTCAAAGGATGAGGCGGCCACCGTTTGAGACGGACGGCAAGCAGTCAAGCAGTCAAAAGAAGGCATAAAACCGAGGACGAATGGCAAGAGCCTAGAATAACCGATCAGCGTAGGTAGTTAGGGAGGATTTCCGCAGCTGAGGGGGATCGGGAGATGGCTGTTCGTTGGCCAAGGTACGTAGCTACGTAGCTACGTATCTTTTCTCCCAATAACCCCCGGGCTTGTCTTGTCGTCTTGGTCGTCTTATTCCCCTCGTTGGGCTTTTTCTTCTCCACGAAGTTGGAGCTGCACGTTGCCCCAGCGGCTGGCGCTGAAGAAGCAAAGCCCCTCCAACCCCTCCAAGCATGCATGCCCCCCCCCTTCCCGTCCAAGAAACCGGTGGTCAAGACCGCCGCATCAGCTGGAAAAAGCGGTTCCTGGGCGCGCGGCGCTGTGAACGGTCAGGAACCAGGCTTCCGGACCCAACCGGATTGGTGGTTTGGCGGGTTTGGCGGTGGGGTCTACGTCCTTGGGTTGGGTAAAAAAGCATAGGCAGCGTTTTAGAATTGCCCGCTTTTCTGTGGTATGTATTTTTATCTGTTTTATTTTAATGACCAGTATTATGCCCTTTTTTTTTTCTACTAGTTGACGCATCACGATCGCTTGTACTAAAAGCTGGGAACATGGCAAGGTGAAGGGAAGAAGAAGTGGACTTTGGGGGAATCGACATAACCCCACTTATATAGAGGTGCAAAAGACGGGTTTGCGATGTGTGCGAATTGACGGGGTAAAATTCTTCCGATATTGGCATGGGTAGATTCTCCTCATGACGGGCTTTTGGGCCAAACTCGGATCGTGCAAATCGGATGCCAATTGATCCTTTTGTGAGGTTGCTGCACGCAGCAGGCGATGGGAAAACTCTTCGCCATGCGAGGCCCCACCTCCACACAAATGTACCCAGGTACTACAAATTACTATACTTGTTATTTTTATTTTTCTTAGCAGCGGGCAAGCGGTCGCCGGTAGTGTGGCCTGGAGGCTTCTAGCGGTTCTAGCGGAGAATGGACGAAGAATAGGGACAACCACGAGGTCTGCTTGGCCAATTTGCTTGAGCCGTCTTCCCCATTTCCCCTCCCCCTCCGCCCCCTTGGGTCCACTGTTGGAGGGGGGCCGCTGGGCCTTTTCGACGGCAAGCACGGTCCAAAGAAGCACTGTGTGTACCGCTACGTACCGAAAAGCACCCACGGGGCCGCGCCGCGCTAGCTGACTTTTCCGGTCTGGGGCAAATGTGGCTTCAGCGTACGAGCCATTGTCATGTTGTTACAAGAAGGAATGAAAAATGTATGAGGGGTGTGCGCCTGGATTGGGTTGTTCAATTGTATACTTAAAGACAGCCTCGCCTAGTTTTGTAGCTGAGCTCTTTTTTGGTTTGGATTTATTATTAAAAACAGTTTGAACCCTCTCCCTCTCTCGCTCTCTCTCTCTTCACCGGTTTGGGTGACTATTATTAGCCCCAGGTGCTACAACATTACTGGTACACATCATTTGTACACGTTGCTCAACGAACAAACCTCTTGGTAAGCACAGCAATTTCATTTTCTTCTATCCCGTCTCGCAATCGTCCTTTCGTGTTTCCCCGAGAGAAAAAAACGAGAGCACGCGACCTGGTTACATTCCCATTTGCCACAAGCGCGAGTTACGCGAGAGACCATCTCGTTTCTTGTCCAGGAACCGGGCTGTGCAGAGGTACCTGAATCCGTGCCAGCGGCCGTGTCAGTTGGTCACGCACCCCAATGGAAATTTTGCGAGCGAACGGAGGGTCCGGCTGGCCCAGCCGCCTAGCGATGGCCTAAAAAAGGACACGAAATGATGAGAACTGGGTTGGGCGCGGTCTTGTCACCAGGCACCGCTGCGCTGTGCTGTTTTCGGAGGTGCAACCTCGTTGGGTGGTGGCGGCCAGCCTGTCAGAGCCAAGAGAGCACCTGCTGGTTCAGCGCTCTCACCTCACAGGGTCCCGTCGAGCGCTGTTGCGCCCACCTGATCCCGTCACTCCCGCTGCCCTTCCTCCGCCCCCTCAGCGGCGTATGGCCCTGAATAAAAGCAACCACCCACCGTCTGCTATCCATCTCCAACTCGGCCCTTGCTCGTCTCCAATTACGTCCTCGTTTGTCTTCTTCTCTTCACAACCAACCCTGCGTTTGTCAAACCCTCTCGCTCTACACTCAATTGCATCTCCGCGCTTCCCTTTCAGCCTCTGCTGCCGAAATCAACATCTTCTGGCCACCCCTTCGTCTCGTCCTGTGTTGCCGACTGTTTTGCAATTGCCCCGCCAAAAGCTGCTGCCCCGCCACTGGCACCTGCGAACACACACACAACAAACAGAATCGCACTAACAGCGCATTGTTTTCTGCAGCGCCGCCACTACCTATTACTGCTTCAATTGTTGACTGCTTGTCTTGTCGACGCCCAACCATTACCACTTTCCATACTTCACAGGTAAGCCAACAAGTCAGCATTCTTCCAACTCTCCGAATCATGTACACCAAATTCCAATTCGACCGCCTTTTTTGGTCAGATGAGCTTGGTTGCCGGGCCGCCAAACTGCAAACGGAAACGACGATATGACCGACTGGCACGCGGCCGGCTGCTGTGCTCGTTTGTTGGCCAGCGCTAGAGCCAGACCAAGCGGTCAGCCTCATGCACACCAACAGCAGCAACTCACGATGGCTTCACCGTTTTGCTCCGGCTTGCCATCGCTCTGCCGCTCGTATCTCGACTTGCCGCTCTCTCGTCTCTCCCTCGTCTCCTCTTTTCCTTTCCCGCGTCGCACCTCTCCTCCACTCGGCGCTGCATCCCGCATGAAGCTTGCCAGCACCGCACAATCCCACAATCCCTAGCCTGGCCCTCGTCAGACACCCCTTGGTCACCTGTCCTACTGTCTTTCCCCATGCTTATGAACACGCCCACGCCATCTTACTTGGTACCCTTACTGGCCCTGGCCTTGCCCTGGTTGCTCCCCGGCTACCCTAATCTCACACCCCCCTTGCCTGTCCGCCATCGGAAACTATTGAGTAACAGCTTCGTGTGCTCTCACTTACACGATGTGTCGGCGACCGCTTGTTTGCATTCGCCTTGCCGACTTTCGTATAAAGACCTCTTCTTCCCATACTCCCTTCTCCTCCTCAGATCCATCATCGTCCCGTCTTCTTCTCTTCCACCTTGCACTGCATCATCACCTCGCTCAACCTCCCATTGTCCCTTGTCCTTCCGCCCATAATATAATCTTCCTTCTCACACAATGCCCGGCCTTTCTCTCGACACATCTAACACCTTTGGCAGCCTACCAGCCACCATGCCAACATCAGCCAACAAGGTCCTGGCCGACATCGCCTCCCAAGACTCGAGCCGTCTGCCCTCTCCTCAACCCACCCATATGTCTTCCCACAACAGCAATGGCCACCGCAAGCTTCGCTCGGCCACCGTTGGCTATGTCGCCCCAGAGTTTACTGGCAAGACTGAACAGATGAAGACTGGTAAGTAGTAACAATGCATGGTCTCACACAGACCCAGCTAACACAGACGCCCCCCAGTCCACAAGCTTATCCACGACAATGGCTGGATCCCCGAGGCCCTCATCGACGAGCAGATCCGCTGGTTCTACGAGCAGCTCGGCATCGATGATGTCTACTTCCGCATCGAGACCCCCGATGTCATCGCCAACCAAATTACCTCCCTCTACGCTGCCAAGGTCGCCGCCAACTCGCGCGAGGACAAGCGTGAGGAGATCCGCCTCGACATGGAGGCCGAGGACCACGCCATCTACATCGACACCAGCGAGCCCGGTCAGTCCCATGTCTTTGGCCCCCGTTATGAGGGCCGCCTCGAGGCCAAGTACCTCGATCACTCCGAGAGGACCAAGTACCGTGTCGAGACTTTCCGCTCGCCTGCCGTCATCGGCGCCAGCCCCAATTCCAAGGCTACCCTCCGTTGCTACTTTGTCTACAAGTGCGACTTCAAGCAGAGCGTCGAGGACACCGACCCCAAGGAGACCAACATCGAGCTCATCTCCGACACCGGCTTCTGGCAAAAGGCCACGGAAAACACCAAGCAGATCTACCAGGAAATTATTGAGCTTGCCGTCGCCCGTACCGGTCCCGTCATTGAAATCTTCGACATCGAGGACTCTGTCGAGAAGCGTCTCGTCGTTGCCTTCCGCACTCGCACTGCCCGCGGCATGTTCTCGTCTCTCTCCGATCTTTACCACTACTACGGCGTCACCTCCTCCCGCAAGTACGTTGAGCAGTTCTCCAACGGTATTTCCGTCATGTCCATCTACCTGCGCCCTGCTTCTACTGAGGGCGGTTACTTCCCCCCCATGGAGGAGTCCATCCACCAGATCACCAAGGAAATCTCCCTGCTCTACTGCCTTCCCCAAAACAAGTTCCACAACCTCTTTGCCACTGGTGAGCTGAGCCTCCAGGAGGCCGTCTATGCCCACTCTACCTGGGTCTTCGTCCAGCACTTCCTCAACCGTCTCGGCCCCGAATACGTCTCCCTCTCGGAGATTATCGACCACAACGACAGTGCCCAGGCTGCGCTCCTGTCCAAGCTCAAGCGCCGTCTCCGTACAGAGACCTTTACCCCCGACTACATCTATGAGATTATCCAGTCCTACCCCGAGCTTGTCCGCTCCCTCTACGCTTCTTTCGCCAATATTCACTTGAGTGTTGGTCCTGACTATGACCGCGCCTACCTAGCTCCCACCCCCAAGGTCGAGGTTCTTTCGGATGAGAAGCTTAAGGATAAGATCTCCAAGACAGTCGCCAACGAGCACGACGAGATGGTCATGACCGCCTTCCGCGTCTTCAACAATGCCATCCTCAAGACCAACTACTTTACCCCCACCAAGGTAGCCCTCAGCTTCCGTCTCGACCCCTCTTTCCTCCCCATGGCCGAGTACCCTCGCCGCCTCTATGGCATGTTCCTTGTCATCGGTGCTGAGTCCCGCGGTTTCCACCTGCGCTTCCGTGAGATCTCCCGCGGTGGTATCCGTATTGTCAAGTCTCGCAGCAAGGAAGCTTACGGCATTAATGTTCGCAACCTCTTTGATGAGAATTACGGTCTTGCCAGCACCCAGCAGCGCAAGAACAAGGATATCCCGGAAGGTGGCTCCAAGGGAGTCATCCTTCTGGACCCCAAGCAGCAGGACCGTGCCCAAGAGGCTTTTGAGAAATACATTGACTCTATTCTCGATCTCCTCTTGCCTGCGGAGACACCCGGTATCAAGAATCCCGTGGTGGACTTGTACGGCAAGCAGGAGATCCTCTTTATGGGTCCCGATGAGAACACGGCCGGTCTCGTGGACTGGGCTACCGAGCACGCTCGCATCCGTGGTGCGCCGTGGTGGAAGTCGTTCTTTACCGGCAAGTCCCAGAAGTTGGGTGGTATCCCTCACGACAAGTACGGCATGACTACCCTCTCTGTCCGTGAGTACGTCAAGGGCATCTACCGCAAGCTGAACCTCGACCCCTCTACTGTTCGCAAGATGCAGACTGGTGGTCCCGATGGCGATCTGGGCAGCAACGAGATCCTTCTCGGTAACGAGAAGTGGACGGCTATTGTCGACGGCTCTGGTGTCCTGGCTGACCCCAACGGTCTCGACCGGGACGAGCTTGTTCGCCTCGCCACAAAGCGTGCCATGATTAGCGAGTACGACCTGTCCAAGGTGTCCAAGGATGGTTACCGTGTGCTGTGTGAGGATACCAACGTGACTCTCCCTAATGGCGAGGTCATTTCCAATGGTACATCTTTCCGTAACACTTACCACCTCCGCGATACTGGCATGACTGATGTCTTTGTTCCCTGCGGTGGGCGTCCTGAATCCATCGATCTTATCTCGGTTAACCGCCTGATCAAGGATGGCAAGGCCGTCATTCCCTACATTGTTGAGGGCGCCAACTTGTTCATCACCCAGGATGCTAAGCTCCGCCTGGAGGCTGCAGGTTGTGTTCTCTACAAGGATGCCTCTGCCAACAAGGGTGGCGTGACATCGTCGTCGCTCGAGGTCCTGGCTTCGCTGTCGTTTGATGACGCCGGCTTCGTTGAGAACATGTGCTGCGACGCCAAGACTGGCGAGCCCCCCCAGTTCTACAATGATTACGTCCGCTCGGTTCAGGCCAAGATTCAGGAGAACGCTGCTCTTGAGTTTGAGGCCATCTGGCGGGAGCATGAGAAGACTGGCGAGCCCCGCTCGATCCTGTCTGACAAGCTGTCGATTGCCATTACCGACCTCGACGAGAAGCTCCAGAAGTCTGACCTGTGGACCAACAAGGAGATCCGTTTTGGTATTCTGAAGGATGCTCTGCCTAAGCTTCTGCTCGACAAGATTGGCCTCGAGACGATTATGCAGCGTGTTCCTGAGAGCTACCTTCGCAGCATTTTCGGTAGCTATCTGGCCTCTCGTTTCGTGTACGAGTTTGGTGCGGAGCCCAGCCAGTTTGCCTTTTTCGACTTTATGTCGAAGCGCATGGCGGCCATTGGCGGTGACGCCAACGCCAACGGCACGGAGCGTCTTCGCCGGGCTTCCATTAGCCAGCACTAGATGGCCTTGGTCAAAGCGGAATACAGTCGGCTGAATTATGGTTTTGATTTTTAGCATTGTTTTGGGACTAAGCATTGGCCAGAAGGCCTGGTGTACCTTTGCTTCACATTGACAGAAAAAAACAAAACGAAAGCAAGACTTGGTTTGCTATCAGAAGTACTGAGTTGAAACAGAGTTGTCATATGGATTTAATCTATGGGTTGGGAAAAGTTTTGCGAATGAAAAGACACAAAAACATTCTACGGGTTACGAAAAGATAAAAAGAAATACTATATAGTCGCAGTCATGAGGACAGAAGCAGTCCCGGCGACACCTTAATTAAATTTACATGCTTTTGCTATGATTACGAGAGTTTTGTTCCTGATATATGTAACTCGTGAAAGGTAAAACGGATGGGCATTGAAAGGGCGGAAGTTGACAGGACGGGAGACGGGTGAGAATAGTGCAGAAGAGACAAGTGCATGTACGGAGTTGCAGGCTGGTATGTATGATAATCTATATTGGGATACATGAAGATGGGAGGACGCGTGTCGTGGGCGCGGGATTGGGTTCGGAGGTACATGGGCAGGTGTAGATGATGACTCGAGAAGCTGGTGGTAAGCAACGATATTCGGGGTGGCCGAGGCTTGCAAGTGGAAGGAAGTGTGACGAGCAGCGGGTTTCTCAAGGCATTGGTGACGTGAGACGGCATTGTCCGAGACTGGAGGATTGGGGTTGGACGAGAAGGTGGGACAGGACGTGGCTCTGCGGCCTGTATACGAGGGCCCAGGTACGAGGGAAAACAAGGCTCGAGTCTGTCCATGAGCTGTGTGGTAGGTGAGAGGACGGGTCGATTGTCCTTGTTCGGTTGAGAGAGGTTGACAAGCCCTTTGGTGCAAGTGGACGAGGTTGGCAGACAAGGGGGTTGGGCGATCTACGGCGCCCTCTTTTTTTTTTCTTCCCTCGAATTGATTGGGATCAAATTTCCTCAGGGGGAGACTTGGTGGACTCGCCCAGGATGGGGCGACGAAGGTACAGAAGATCTAACATGGGGCATGATGTTTGTGATGGGGATTAGGGCGCTGTGATGCGAGCTGCGTGGGTTTGTGACGGGCAGGGCGGTTATTCCTTGGCGTAAAATAAGCAGGCAGAAGAGGGACGGTATTTATCAAGGGCTGTTACTGCGCGGAATAGGGTTGGTTGAAACCAGCCTCTCTGCTGCGGGATGGGCCGATGGCTGGGCAGCGGTTGATGGCTTATTCTGCATCATATCCTGTGCTGGTTTCAAGGTGGATACGTATTACTTGTTCATGACACAGATTCATGTGCGCCATATCATGCGCCATATGGCTGTACAAACAAGGCCGTCTTTGCCTGGAAGCTGTAAACACCGATTGACATGGCAGACGACAAATATGCCAGATAAATGATGTACATACTACAGAACTTTGAAACACATGGCAATGCCCGCTTGCATGGCTTCCGCCTCCGCACCACACTCCCAACTACTAATGTAGAGGCTCTGCGGTACGACATCAGTTCATTTCCAGCTTCATGATGGCTCACGATTTCGACCATGTTAGGGTCGTATAGATCAACGCCGGCGACGAGGAAGGCGCCGACATTACGCTCGAGTACAACGCCAAGCGAATGAATGTATCTGTTTTTGCCAGTCCGTTGCCCGAATCTCCCGTCGAAAGCCAAATTATCCACCTCTTAAATCAAGCAGTCATTGCCGCCGATGAGAGATATGCTACGGAAAGCTAGAAGAGCCGGACTCTGGGATACCAGTCTGGAGCGCGAATTAGCCACGCTCCGATCTGTCCAGCAGGCTATCGGCACGTACCGCAGCTCGCCGAAACGGTTCAAGGTGATCATCAGGCTAGTGGAAGAATTTCGCACTTCCTGGGTGCATGAAGAGCATTTACGTCATCATCAAAGGCGTCTTGCTTGGTCTGCGGTACTCTGCGAGAGCGATTCTGAGTTCGAATCAAGATACTCCAAGTCACTTTGAACTTAAACTTGTACCTACCCACCAAGCAGTACCAGAATAGGCAACTGGGCTGCTCAAGAGCCGAAAAGCTGCGTCAAACGCGTGTACAGGCTTTGACCACCGGGAATAAGGGTTCAAAGAGAGCTCGGGCTCCTTCCCGGTTGCGCTCGCAGTAGTAATTCCACCAACTCACCATGTCCCGACCTTTCCGCGCACTCCACTGCGTCACGCCCCATGCTGTTCTTGATGGTTGGGTCTGCTCCTCGTCCTAGTAGATACCGCACAGCATCTGCGTTGCCAGTTGCGACAGCCTTCTGGAGCGCGGTCCCACGTTCAATAAACGGATAGAGTCTCCGGGAAGCCGCGTGCTTGTCGTACATGACGGTGTTTAGCGGCGCGCCTTTGTTGAGTAACATTGCCAGGATCTCAATCGTATCGGCGGCCTCACTTCTGGGCCTGTCCAACACATAGTGTAGCAGTTCCCCTTTTGTCACATCTCCACCCAGGTCGAGGAATGTTTTAACAAGATCAGGTGACGCATTCTGGACAGCGAGGGACATGGGTGTCATGTCGACGTAGGTTGACTTGTTTAGGTCAGCACCGCGGTCGAGCAGCCAAAGTGCCAGTTTTCTGTTCGTAATAGCGTCGCTGCAAGAGACAGCACGTTAGCTCATTGACTGCCGACTGCTTCCGGCACTAAAAGCGACGTACGCAAGGATAGAGGGCTGGGTTTCCGACTGGGGTTGATTGATATCCCAGCCGTTTGCCAGGAAGACCTCGAGGCACGAGGTAGCCTCGCTGCGGACGGCTTCAAACGCGAAGTTGTAGCTTGTACCCATACCGAAATCTAGTAGCCCTTGAACAAATCTGTCACGGTCCTTTTTTATGGCTTCGTACATGACTGCTGAAAGGTCGTTTGCCTTGACAGGGCTCACGAGGAGACGGGTAAATGTTTCCAAATCATCTTGCAGAAGAGCAGTCTTTAGTTGGTTGATATTCTCGTCAGGGGTTTGGCGCGGCGGAAGAGGGACAAACCCCCTTGGGCGCGAGCCAACTTGGCCAGGCATAGTGTGGTGGTAGCTTTGATTCTGACTCGTAACTAGAGTGTCACTAACTAACGTTAGAGAGAGAGTATTTATTTGACAGACGAGGTCGTAGTCGGTTGTCGCCGCCGGAAAAATAGTGCTGCCAGTCCCGCCCGCAGTCCCCTGGAGGATGCTCAGCAGGTGGTCCCGATGGAGGGAGTACAATTTGTCGATTTCCAGGTCACGCCAGCCATCAGAACTCGCGACTTGGGATCCTGCTCTGTGGTATGCTCGCTTACCAGCACGGCGCCAGTTTGGCCCGTTTTAGCCCATATTCCGCCTTTACCGAAGCAACCAACGCTTGAACCTTACAGGGCGCTAACAACGTTCGAGTAATGATGAACAAGGTTAAAAGTCTCTTTCCGACCGATAGAGCGTTTGTTGTGGCCAGTGCAAGATCACAAGCATGTTTGAGCCCGTGGCACGGCGGCTCTGGGCGTACCGGAGAAACATCGGCTCACAGTTGTTCAAGGAGAAAATTAGCGCGAAGACTTGCCTTGCCGTTGGCTCGTTCGTTTTTTTCAACTGGCCAACTGGCCCTCCTCGGCTTCTCGAAGCTCACCCGCCTGCCTGCGACACCACCACCACCACCACGACAAGGAGGCTGGTCACAATTTCGCTTCGCGCCGTCGCCGCCTGGGCCACCTCTTCATCCATCGCCTGTCCTTGTCGACTTTTTATTTTCCCGTCCATCTCCCACGCCGTGCCACCGTAACCATGACTAGGCCTTCCATTATTAGAGCCGGTACGTTTATCGTTGTGCAACCCCCTGTCCTGCCTGCCTTCAAGCGCCGCCCGCCACTGCTCCTCGCTCAGTAACCCCCTACAATTTACCCCCTTGTCCCTGTCTCGCCACTTTACGGAGTACACCAGCACAGTCAGGACTCCTGCAGGCCCTTTTTGCATTATTGCTTTTCTCTTCTTTTCTTTTCTCTTCGTCTCTCCTACGCGCATATCCTTGTGCTTACTCAATTGCGCCTTGCTGCTGTCTCTCCTGCCTTCTTTCCCGCTACCCGCGCACGTCTGGACCGCTCCCCTGCGCCCTCCGGCCGTTGCATTCCAGTCAATCTGGCTGACGTGCATTGACACCCAACACGCGGATTTTTGCTTGTCTCGCGCGCGCCTCTACCAACAAAGTCTTGACTTGTGACTTGTAACGTGGTGCCCAAAGGCTGCAGATTTGAGACGGGTTGACCACGAGCTGCTGCAGCGCGGCGCAATTGAGAGAGCCCCTTCCTGCACTACCTACCTACGCCACAAACTATTGCTGCCGGAACTCCTGACTGACGTGTCTACCTCACCCGGCAGACACCATCGATCTGCAGCATAGCAACGCCCCCTCAACCCAGGACCACACTCACCCTCGATCTGACCCGGACGACGCCCACCACCGAGCGCCTCACCAGGCCGAAACCCTGCGCGACGTCGCCCACGAGACAGCCCAAGAGCTACAGCATAGCCCGGCTGTACAACCCGCCGCTGCCAATTCCTCGGACAGCGCGCCCTCGCAGTCGCATCAGCCTGCCCCTACCACCAGTCATCCCGCTGACGACGACGTCGACGGTACCCAAAATCCAGACCAACGGGCGGCTGATCTCACCGACGCCCTCACCATGGACTCCTACCGCCAGCACGAGCAGGATGCCAATGCCGCCCCTCATAATGGTACCTCCTCCTCCGACGAGGATGATATCCACGGCGATGCCATTGACGACCTGGACGACGACCTCATGGATAAAATTTCGAGCTCCCCCTCGATAGAAGATGGTGTGTACAATTCTCCTCCAGCTCTAGCCAGAAGCGCGCGCCCACACGACTGGCCTCGCCGCGTTTCTTCCCTCCCCACCACCTCGAGATTCCGTCGTCAAGCGGCCGCGCGGTTCTTTAGTTCACAGTCACAGTCTATCCGCATCTCTCAGCAGCCTCGCCATCTTCTTCTTTCCCGGTCCGACGCCTCTGTGCGCACCAACTTTGTCGATTCAAAACCAGACACTGATCTGAAGCCCGCCCACGACGCCAACTCCCGAGTATTCAATGACGAGCCCAGGACTGGACAACCAGAAGGGGAAATCTTGACTACTGGGGACCAGATTCGGCTGCCAAACTCGCAGCCAGACCGCGCCTCGGATTAGGTATCCTCGCAGTCAGCGCTGGTTACCCAAAGCCAAGTTGAAACCCCGCGTAGCTTACCCGAAACGCCATCAACAGGAACAAATAACGACAAAGCTGCGGATACGCTCGAAAATGCCGCCTCATCTGGTGCCGACCCGGCTACGGAGATTCCCTCGGAACCTAGCAAAGAAGAAGATGACGCTCCTGCTGACGACGTGACCCCCGCCACCCCATTTGATCCAGAATACAATGATTTTAGCTCGGACGAAAGCTTACATGACTCAGAGGACATCGATTTCGAATTTGTCTACGCCCTTCACACCTTTGTCGCCACGGTGGAGGGCCAAGCAAATGCAACCAAGGGTGACACCATGGTACTTCTTGACGACAGCAACAGCTACTGGTGGCTTGTCCGCGTCGTCAAGGACAGCAGCATTGGTTATCTTCCTGCAGAGCACATTGAGACTCCCACAGAACGACTAGCCCGCTTAAACAAGCACAGAAATATTGACGTAAGTTGTAGCTTGCCATGGCCCACTCGTCGGCCTAGACTAACTCGAGTAGTTGTCTGCGACTATGCTGGGAGACCAGGCTGTCAAATCTAAGCCTTCTTTTAAAGGCATCCGCCGCAAGCGCAAGACGGTTGCTTTCTCGGAACCCACCTATGTTGATTACTCCGACTTTGACTATTCTACCGACGAGGAGGACATTGACGAACTCTTTGGCACGCAGCCGCAATCTGCCAGGGAGCAGGCCGCCCAGACTGTGCAGCAGGACCAGGAAGCTTCCGAAGCCGCTCGTGTAGAGCCACTCCGTACTAAGGACTCTAAGGCCGACGAAACTCAGGATACCAAAGTCACCAGTGGCGAAAGGGCCACAAAGGAAGGTGGCCTTGACAAGGTTGACTCTGGCCAACTCGGACAGGATGGAGACGAAGACACCACCAGCTCTGTTGACGAGATCATTGACGAGACGACAAGTGTTAGCCGATCCAAGAATGGCACTGTACGTAACACGGATTCCTTCTTCAACGACGAGGAAACCAAGAAGATCACCCTCACCCCAAATCTGCTGCGCGACAGTGACGCTACCGCCAGACCCTCGACGGACTCTGCTGGCAAGGACTCGGCTAAGAGCCGGTCCAGTCTCGACAAGATGGAAAGGGAGCTAGTCTCGGACAAGGAAAGAAAGAAGAGCAAGGACAAGAAGCCAAGCGTCATTCGCAGCTTTTTCTCTAGAAAGGACAAGAAGAAGTCGGAAGACGACGACGAGTCCTTTGGAAAGCGCTCTATGGACATTATGGAGGCCGAAGATCGGGACGACGCCAGCTCGCCCGACAAGTCTCAGCGCAACGGCAAGCTGCAAAAGGTGCAACCGCGCCTTGAACCCCAGCCGCAGGCTGGACGCAAGCTGGCTACCTCGCAAACACAAAAGTCCACCGTCGAGCTGTCATCCTATCTCAACGAGACGCGCACAAACGACGTCTCTTCTGTACCACCTGCCTCAATGCGCATTGTCGATCCCGAGACGCAAGAAACGCGCAGTGTATCGTCCAACCAGCTGCAACAATCTCCCGAGTCTGGACCCAGCCGCTCGTCGTCGGCGGGCAGTCGCAGCGAGAAGGCGTCTGCTGCTCTATCCAAAATGATCCCCCATCGCACCCCCAGCAGTGGTGCGGATCCCAAGCCGCAAAAGACCAAGAAGGCCAAGACGAGAATGGAACTGGACGCCTCCGACAGCCCGGAGGAGCAGGAGCAAAACGAGGAGACTACCTCGTCAAGCCAATCACACAGCGTTGCTGCTGCTGCTGTCGGCGCTACTGCTGCCGCCGCTGGCGTTGTTGGCGCCGCCGCCGCCGCCAAATCCCATGGCGCCCCGTCACCTTCTTCCCCAGTCATGTCTAGAGACAGGACCGCCACGCCGCAGACCAACACAGTCCAAACAGGAGACGCGGTACAGGCCTCACCCGGCAACGCCTCAAACCCGCCTGGCCTGGTGCCCGACACGTCCTCTGCGGAAGACCGCTCGCCCAACCCATCACCGTCGCCCGAGCTCATGTCCAAGGGCGGCAGCGCCGCCAGCAGCCGCAAGGAGTCGTGGGACGACGTCAAGCTGCGCGCCTTTTTCGACGAGAGCGACCACATCCGCGACCTTCTGGCCGTCGTCTACGATAAGTCGGACGCGGAGCCCGTCGGTGCCGACCACCCGGCCATCGGCGGCCTTTTTAGGGAGCAAAACGCCAAGCTGGCCGAGATTACCACCCAGCTTGACAATTTGCTGGGAGACTGGCTGGCGCGGAAGCAGCGTCTACGAGGATCCGCCTAGACGATTTTCTTGTCTCCTTTTCCCGGGTTTTCTGTCCATCTTCTTTTCTTACAATACCCCTCTGCATTGTTGACTTGGCATGGCATGGCTTGCGCCTTTGTTGTTGTTGTAACGCTTGATGACTCTGTTTCTTTTATTCCTTGGTGCGCTGTCTCACGAACACAGACTTTTGGACCGCATCAAGATGTACCAAAACTTTGATATATCCCATTTTCCACAGGACAGCGTTATCTTCAACTTTCGCTGGATGAGGACTCATTCGCTTCTTTTTTTCTGCTTTCCCCTTTGGGAGTTTCTCCTTCTTTTGGTGTAGGGAAACGTGAAACGCACAAGTCGTTTGAATACGACTCCTTTTCTTTCTTGACCAAATACTCTCGTTACAATATCTTCTTTTTTTCCTTTTGTTTGGTTGGAGAGTTTTAGCATACATATACGTGCTGGTTGTTTCTTGTTTTTGTGACTGTATAAAAAACCTATGGAAAACAAAGGTCTTTTGATCGATCGGACAGCTGGGATGGTTTGGTTGGTTGGATGTACAGTAAAGACTGTTGGAGAGGTGTGCGGGAATGCATGGAAGAGGAAAGCATAGAGTCGTCTCTCGTTTTGAACGTGAATATAGTTATGCTTGATCTCCTTCTGAAACTCGATGGTATAATGCTGTCAAGGATTATAATTGCTCCGTGAAGGGCTTGCCTGGGGCGAGTATCAGACGATCAGACGGGATCAATGATGGCTGGCAGGCCTTGCTAGAGTGAATCGCCCGACTAGAGCTGCTGCTGTCTTTCTCGCGAGCAGTATAAGGCTGACGATGAGGGATCGAGGAACTCCTCTCCGCCTGGAAGCTCTGGCTGAAATGGGCAGAAATTCCGGTTTCCCAGTGTACGAGTGTTGTTGGTTTCAGAGTCGACGCAGCTGAGACATTCACTCACATTCACCACATAATAGCCGTTTTGAATCATTTTTTTTTTCATTCAATGCGTCCGGTCGCGTGCCTGACCGGCCTGACTGGCGTCCTGGATGCAAAGACAGCCAGCCCCGTCCCCTATGATCATTTCAGATGTCCGCAATCTCATAACACCAAGGTTGAACCACCCTATTTTTCCCAAGTAAAAAAAGCCCAATTCCTTTCCTTGTTTATTTCGGATCAAAAAAATCAGACGCAAGTTTGTGCAGGCCCCTTTTGCAGGAGCTTTGACGTCAAAATGCAGCATGTAACAAAAAGAGAACCAACACATTGGGAAAACATGAAAACAGAAGAGGCAAAAGAGGTGTGTATCATTCGCTCTATATCAGTTTTACTATGTTTTTTTCTCGATGCTTTTGTTGGTCGTTGTCCCCCCCTGAAAACAAGTAAACATTTCTTTTTAAACCTCGGTGGTGACCTTGGCCTTGGCGTTGGTGACCTTGACGCCCAGTTGCTTGGCGCGGGCGACAATGTCGATGCGCTTGCGCGAGGAGACGGCCGAGGCGATCTCGGCGGCGTAGGTGCGGTTGTGCATGAGGAGCAGCTCGAGGTCCTTGACGTTGTTGACGAGGAAGGCCTTGTGGCCAGAGGGCATCATGTAACGGGTCTTCTTGTTGGAACCGTAACCAATCTAGAGAGCGTCTTGTGTTAGGGGGTCCGTCTTGCAAGAGGTTGTGGCTGGGACGTACCGAGGGCATGGCAATGCTGCCACGGAAACGACGGCGGACACGGTTGTCGATACCCTTGGGCTTTCTCCAGCTGGGGTCGACGCGCATGAAGCGATCAGACTGGTGGCGGAAGAAGCGCGCAGTGCCTGTGAAAGTTGTGTTAATGACGGCTTTCGGGACCCGGTGAGTTGCGCCTGCCCTCGAATTGTTTGGTATTCGTGCGGTGAGAGATAACAGCAGTCCCTCCGAGGTCAAGGACACAAGAGTTCCCATCATTCGTGAGGGATCGCATGTTTCATCGATTTGACAGCGGTGGCTTCAAGCCGCAAGAAGTCCCCAAACAATCCAGCAATTCGTTTCGAAATATTCCGCAGAGACATCGATTCGGGCAGGCACACGGGGGGTAGAATTCCAGAAAGAACATACGCTTCTTCACGATAGGGACGTGCTTCTTGGCGGCGACCATCTGCAAAGATTCCAAGTCAGTATTTCTTCCGACACAATTCGAGAGCTGTCAAGGCAACAGCATGGAATGCATCATTTCAACATGCTGCTCCCGTTGGAGCTTTCGCTTCAGAGAAAATGGGCGTACCTTGACGGTTGTTGTTGTCGGATGGCTGTGATTACTTTACCCGTAATTGCTGGTCGTTTTCAACACTTTACGAAGGCGGGCGAAATTTTGGACGGTTCGCTTGGATTGGGACGGGGGCTCCGCACACTGCGGCAAGGGTTTAGGGCTGGTGTGTCACGTGTGGGTACCAAAGTCGCCAGCATGCTGAGAAAATTTGGCGGCGCAGATCAAGCGAGCGATGCCATCCAAACGGGACTAGCGTATTTTGAAGGGCACAAACCCTTCAGAGGCGGAAAAAGAATTACAGCGCAATAGCAGATACTGGCTAGCCTGCCTGCGCCCCAGCAGCAGCGCACCATACCAAACCCGCTCTTTTTTTCCTCACGTAGACGCCTTCACACACCTCAACGACTTGTCCTTGTCAAAAAACCATCACAAACCGCAAACATGTCGACACAGAGCGTCCAGTGCTTCGGCAAGAAGAAGACGGCCACCGCCGTCGCCCACTGCAAGGTTCGTGCCACCGAAAGCGCCGTCGAAATGCATCGCCGTTGTCGTCCCGATCGATGGAGGAGTCTGCTGTCACGAGATGCCGAAAGTGGTGATGAAATATGTCCGCTGTCGGCTTTGGGTGCTTGGATATGGGGAATTGGCAAAAGCGGGAAGCAATGTTGACAGGGGAAAGGAATTTGTGACGGCAGACTGATGTTGAACGGACGACATGGCGTTGCATTTTGTGGTACAATTCGTCGCAAGAAGACGCAAAAGCTAACGATATTCCAGGCCGGCAAGGGTCTCATCAAGGTCAACGGCCGCCCTCTGCAGCTCGTCCAGCCCGAGGTTCTCCGCTTCAAGGTACGCTTTATTCGAATTCTTGTCCATCCCATATCCCGTCGCAAATAGCGGCGTTGGGCCACCGCCGTTGAAGACAAGTTTTCCCTACCGGAAGCATGTCCTTGACGGCGCCCCAACGTCCTCACAAACAAGAGAGCCATCCATTCGCAGCAGCCACGCTAACCTGGGTCCCTCCCCGCAGGTCTACGAGCCCATCCTGGTCGTCGGCGTCGACAAGTTTGCCAACATTGACATTCGCGTCCGCGTCACCGGCGGTGGTCACACCTCGCAGGTCTACGCCATCCGTCAGGCCATTGCCAAGTCCCTCGTCGCCTACTACCAAAAGTACGTCGACGAGCACTCCAAGAACCTGCTCAAGCAGGCCCTCGTCGCCTTTGACCGCACCCTGCTCGTCGCCGACAACCGTCGCTGCGAGCCCAAGAAGTTTGGTGGTCGTGGTGCCCGCGCCCGTTTCCAGAAGTCTTACCGATAAAGGCCTTCGCCCACACGATACGGGTGTATGCTGTCTTTTCTGCTGGTTTCTGCTTGTCTCTTCTCGTTGTGTTGACCGAGATGGATTGGAACAATCAATGACTTGGAGCGCGGTTTAAAAATTTACGGTCAGGGGCGGTCAGGCGGTCTTGTGCCTCCCCGGGGATATGTAGAGTGCGGAGGACAATTGTGAAATCCAACGAGTCTAACAAGTCCCCTGGTGCTGGGGATGATGATATTTTCCCACGGCGCATTTTGCATGGCCTTGGCTAGGCGATATGTAGTCATCTAGCAGGCAAATGAACAAATCAATTAAAAAGTAAACAATGTGCGAAGAAAGAGTGATCTGTACACTGGAAACAAATGTGAACATGAACTGCACTGTACGTTGTAACCGACGTGTGAATAACGTGAACCTGTACGTTGTATTCAGGCTCAAACCATGAGAACCTATTCATTCCTAAATCAATGTGGTATCTCTGTAATTATCCTCGACTGTAAATCTCACTGCTCAGCCCAACACGTACCAATCGTCAGTCATTCCACGAGATCAAACCATGTGAACCTATTCATTCCTAAATCAATGTGGTATCTCTGTAATTATCCTCCACTGCAAATCTCACTGCTCGGCCCAACACGTACCAGTCGTCAGTCATTCCACGAGACCAAGCCCTTTTCGCGTCCGTGCTCGTCGAGCTCGACAATCTCAGGCGCCCACTCGCCCCTCTCGTCCTCAGCCTGCAGCTCCTGCATCTCGAGCTCGACCTCCTCGCCGTCCTCCATGACGACGGTGCCCTTTCTGACATACTCGGCGGCAATATCCCAGCCAAAGGCGTCGTCCTCAGCCACAGCCGCCTCGAGCCTCGCAAACGCCGCCACCACCTCCCCCTCTTCCGGCGTCGTCGTCGTCGTCCGCATCTCCTCGAGCCGCCGCCGGTACACAATCAGCGCCAGGCGCAGCTCGCGCACGCGCGCCTCAGACAGCAGCTCCGCCAGCGGCGGGTCGAGCCAGGTGCCGCCGTACGCCAGCTGCGCGGTCAGGGCGCGCAGCCAGGCGGCCGCGAGCGCGGGCCGCCGCCGGGGCAGGTCGTACGCGCGCAGCAGCAGCCGCTGCACCACGTGCCACCACTGCGCCAGGCACGCCTCGCTGCCGAGGTGCGCGGCGGCGAGCAGCGCCAGCTGCAGCTCGCCGACGAGGCGCGACGCGCCGACACCGCTGTCGCTGTCGCTGTCCAGCAGCGACGTGAGGTACGACGTGGCGTCGGTGGCCTCGCGCGTGCGGTCGGCGCCAAACAGCGCCGCCGAGTACGTCTTGGCGTGCTGGTCCAGCGCGAAGCGCAGCTCGCGCGGCGGCGGCGGCGGTGCTGCTGCGCGCCGCATCGCCGCCAGGTGCTGCTCCATGGCGCGCTCGGCCGACGGCGCGACGGCGCCGCGCACCTGGTCCATGGTGTTGAGATGCCAGACACGGCCAGACTGCTGCCCCGTGACGCGTGTGAGCAGGTCCCCGGTGATGCAGCTCGTCAGCTGGCCCCAGATGAGCGCCGCCGCCTGCGCTTCGCTCCCGCTGCGTGGCGTCAGGTCGCGGTACGACAGCAGCAGCGTGGCGGCGTCGCGGGGGATCGCGTCCGACGGCGCGTCGACGAGCAGCTCGGTGTCGCGGTCCCACCGGACCGCGTGCACGCTGGCGTCGTCGTCGTCGTCTCGGGTCACGATCCAGAAGCCGGATCGGGGGGCCATGCCGCCCGGGTGAGCGACCCAAAAAAAGTGCGGCCCGTCAGGGACGTCGCGGAAGCCGACAAAGTGCCTGGCCGTCAGGGCGGTGGCGTCGCAGCCGACGGTGAAGTCGGCTGGCAGGTCGAGGATGAAGACGACGTCACCACCAGCTGGTGCCGCCGGTATCGCAGCCGCCGCCGACGCCGGGGCCTCGACGTCGACATCGGAGCTGTCCCCGAGTGGTGGTGGAGGAGGCGGCAGATGGCAGCAGTCGTCCCCGCTGGTCTGTTCGTGGGCCAGACTCGCAAGGGTGCCTCGCTTAGGATGTGGTGATGTAACTTGCGAATGACGCTCCAGACTCTGCGACGACGATGAGCTTGTGCTGCTCGTGCGCGTCATGTCGTTTTCGTGTTCAAGGCCCTTTTGCGAATGACTTTTAAGTTAGTTAGGGGGAGCCCACCCCAATGCGCACTCGATCGAGATGCTCTAATTTGAGAAAGAATCCATGAAAGCTTGTCCTCTTATCCCGAGTTTGGCCTTGGGTTGCCGAGCAGGTGGTTGGGGTCCAGACGATATCAGAACGGTGACTAGTTGAGTAAGATCAAGGTGGCGGGCAAGCGTGGACTTGTCAACGTTAGGTTCGGCCCTATATGCTGTTGTGAGGGGGGAATGTTCGCGTGTGGTACGTGTCAAACGTGTGTAGGAGCAAATTAGAGTTTTACAAGAGGGCGGCAGAGCGAGTTTTTCAAAAAAACGGACTTTTTGTTTCTTCTCTGAAAACAAGCCTCCCAAAGCGCCCCGCTAGGTATCGCCGTACCTAGTCAACCGACAACGCTTGCATCGTCGGCTGTCATCTAGCGGCTGCCCTACAGGCAGTCTGTGCCGAGAACGAGCGTGCGGTTCGCGACAGCGGCGGCTATGCTTTTTTTCCTGGCTGTCTCTGCCCTTTTTTTTCGGCCAATTTACGCCACGGCGTCCTTGTGCGAAAAATCCCCCCCCTTTCTGCAACGACGGGTCACCGCAAACTACGTGTCACCGCAAGAACCAGAGCAGGGTTTTCCAAACCTTTTTTCGCAGGGTAAGCTTTAATCTATGATGTCACCAACGGGCGTGACGTATACGCACACAAAAAAGGGCAAGCGAAAAAACTTCTTCGCGAGCTATTTACTCTCAGGGTTTTTTTGGGGGCCCGCTGTGGTAGCGCGCAGATGGCTGGGCGATCGGGCTAACTAGCGCCTTGGGACTTGGGGACTGGGCCACCTTGTTTTGTTATTGTTCCTTCCTTGTACACGACAAGTTGTTCGATTTCCCTCTCTTTGTACTCTTGCAGAGGCTCACACGCCCCTTGAAGATTCAACCAGGCGAGTTTAGTCGACGGTACGCCGAAACTCTGTTATACGTCGGGTTGTGCGAAAGCAGAGTGGCCGCAATGACGAGTACAATGACAACCATGGAGTAATTATGCCATAACCTCTTGGTAAAGCGACTGCCATGGGTCATAACCTTTTCGATAAAGAGACTGCCATGGGGCAAAATCTCCGGATAAAGCGACTGCCCAGGGGGTATGCCATGGCCTCTGGATAAAGCGACTGCCATGGGGTATGCCAAACCTGGAGCGACTTGTCATGGGGTATGCAAAACCTGTAGAGACGGCCCATGGGGTATGGAATAACCATGAGCACGCAATAACCGCCTGTTTGCCCTCGCCTACACTGTGGCGCGTGCCGCAGCGCCTCGTGCGCGGCTCTCTTGCGCGTGGTGAGACGTCCAACTTGATGGTTGTCAGTTGTCAACATCTGTATGCTACCCCGTTTCGCCCAATCCGTCTGGCTTGTGATGGGCACCTAGTGGTGGTGGAATATGGATTGACTTGGAGGAAAATGACAATAAGAGAAGTGGCTGCACAATATACAAGTCGCATCAGCGCCTCTTGAGCCACAGTACAGCTTCTTGAGTAGCTACACTCGGCTGAAGTCTCTACTATCAAAACAAGTAACAAGGTTCCTCAAAAACAATCGTTAGAGACTGGTCAATTTTAGACGTAGCTCAGTAGGTGCACAGCTCGATAATACTTCATCTACGTGCAAAGGCAGTTTTCGTCGCCGCAGTGGCTATGTCGCACCCGTCTCGGACGAGCCAAGGAAGGCGACTTGGACATACTGAATTTCATTCTGCACCGAATATCATTCTGCTAAAACACGCGCGTATGAAGTTAAATTCTCAGGCTTGACGAATTGATAGACTTTTGTGTATAATTATTCGGACATTGTTCTTGCATCTCTGCACATGCTGAGCGTACAGCGAGGTTGTCTGTCGTGCCTGATCTAGGTCTCGAATGACCAAGGCAGTTCCCATCGTTAAATAAATAAATAAAAAGAGAAAATATGGTCGATATAGTCCATCACTTTCCATACAAGCTATCAGAAGCTACCACTCGATTTTCAAACATGATGCAAGCACATGTTGTCTTGCACCCGACCAGCTTCTTCCCCAATCGACCACCTACCTTATGTATTCTTCAACAGCCAAGTAGGGGACAAAATAAACCGCCGGTTAGTACTATGCCATTATGTTGCTTATTCTCATTATACTTCTTTTTATTAGCCTATTTAGCTTTGTTGTTCTATTTTATCCTCGTTATTCGTTATATCTTTCTGATTTTATATTTTTTCCCCAGTCTCCTCGCCCACATACGGAGGCCTCACCTAATTAGTCCCCCCCAACAGCCTCGGCTAATAGAAACAAGGAACAAACAACTCAGCACCAAGAGTGCCCAATTCACCACGTTTTTGTGTTCCCTATTTTATACATCGTACCTGGCTACACAATCGTCAAACCCGTCTTGGGCAAAGCTCCCGGACTAGCTGCCGCCTCTTCCCCGAAAGCAGCGCTTGTTAGTGCCCGTCCCGACGGTCTGGTTGGCGCCCACGCCCCCTCCCACACACAGGTCTGCTCTGCAACCACCAAACCAACCCGGGCAGCCTTGCTTGGCCTCACCCTCGCACAAAAGACTAGCCCAGCTTTTTTTTTTTTTTAGTCTCGGCCGAGTCGTTTTTTTTTTTCAAGCCATCTAGATTTCTTTTTAAAGAGGGCGCTAGGACGGTTAGACGCCTTATGCACCAGCGATCCTTTTAGTTTGAGTCGGAGAGAAAAAAACGGCGTGGGAACGGGAACGGGAACGGCGGAATGTTATTAGGCATTGGTGAAGCTGTCCAAGGTATCGCGGTACAACTCCCTGGATAGGAGGGAGGATGGAGTGTATAGCATTTGAATGTTTGCATATACAACGTCTTCTCATCGACAGCTTATATATATGCAAACTTGTTGGAGGATATGGTAGCTGCCGCGGCTGGACTGAGCCGCAATCTAGCGCCAGTGCAAACATGACTTATTAGAGAAAGATATGGGCATGATTGCAAAAAAAAAGCTTCACCTGTAGTCACAGTATATATGACGAATATGGCTTTCATGGTTGATTCTCGTGCTATCATTCGCTTCTGTACGAGGCAAGGAAGTGGGAGACGGCACCAAGTTGCACAACCAGAAAGAAATCATCAGGGAGTGACGGCAGCTACAAAACGACCTTTGTCCTTGGGCATCAGTGCCATGCTCAGCAGGTCTCTAGGCAGTATAAGTCGAAGCGGTGCCGCCCAACCTCGTAACTATAGCTTTCAACCACATATCGAGTAGCAAAAGGTCGGTTGTAAGAAAGCGGTGACAAGATAAATGGAAAATCCAACGTCTTGCATTGGATGTCCGCTTCTTCCATTCCCTCCAGCGAACGCCACCCCTGAGCCAAGCCAAGACGACAGCGCCGTCCGGGGTATGCCCCAACTCCTGCCCCAAAAACGATTTGTTTTTATTCTTTCCACATCTTTTGCCATGCTAGAACGGCCAGCAGCGCGCGATTTGTCAGCCCGCTGCAAGGAGAATGTCACTGCTTGTCTGCGTGCCACGATCCAACCACGTAGAAGAAGAAGAAGAAGAAAAAAAAGGCTTTTTGTGCAATGTACAAAAAGGCTCAGACATTTTGTTGATAAATGCCCCCCCTGCGCAGTGACCTTGTTGGCCGGCCCCATGTCTCTCTATTCTATCAGGAGTTTGGGCTCGTGCTCAGAGAGCCACTCGGTGAAGAGATGTGGGAATCGTCACACCTTGGTGCCGTCGCTTCTGTTTTTCCGCCGAATGCACGGCTCCTCTTTTTCTTCCTCATCATCTTCTCTTCTTGTTTCCTTTTCTGTCCCCTGGTCAAACTCATATAAAAAAAAATCAGCAAAAAAAAGCATATTTCAGCTGGCTGGGATGATCCCCCCCTTCCATCCACAGTTGTTCCCCAACAACAACATTGTGGCCGTGCGTTCCCTTTGATTTTTCCTGTCTCTGATTTCTGATCCAGTGCGGAATTCTTTTTGGGCACCACCCCCCCTGGACGCCACAACAAGTTCAGTGTGCCCCCCCTCTTTCCAAGACATCCCCCAAGCCCCCGGATCCCTGGGCTGCAACTTTTCCCATTTCATGCCCACGCCCTCTCCACTTCTCATATGTATGCCTTGGACAAAAAGTCCAGCCTCGTTTCCTGCGGAGAGGGGGGGGCGTGGGAAGCACACCACACCGGCAGTGACGGTTTTCTTTTCGCCTCGGCTCAGCGCAATCGCCAGTAGCGCAATGCGGGGGGGAAAGGCCGTTGATTTTAAAACGATGAAACTTTTAGGGGGATTGAAAAGAGAACTAGCTTTAAAAGAAAAAAAGCGCTTGGAACATTTTTATTTCCCGCTTTCTGTATAGGGGGGAGAGGGGGGAAAACGAGTTGTTTCTTGTATTCTTTCTTTGCGCGAGGTCTGTTTGTTTCCTGGGTTGTTTAGAGTTGCGACGTGCATCTCGCATCGCCAACTGTCCTTGCGCCGGTACGCACCCAAGTTCTAGACCGCTAAACGCGGCATAACAAAAAGATAAAAATAAAAACTCGAGACGAGAGACATGAAAAAGCGAGGCAATGCAAGGGAATCGACGATGACATTCTTTCAAAGTTGCCCCCCTTTTTCTGAGGTTACTTCTGACGACTTGCGCAAAAAAGTGTGTGTGTGTGACATATGACTACAAAACTTGCTTCATTTTGCCCGCATTGTCCCGATATCCATACCTCGCCGTTGTTCCTTGTCGATAAATGCTTTGTCGTGTCTCTCTCTCCCTGGTCCAGCCCCCCTCCGTGGGGGCAAGGGGCCTTCGGTTGTTTTCCCATAACGGTAACAAAAAAAAAGGAAGATTAAAAAAAAAGAAAAGTACAGGGGAATAAAAACAAAAGAACTCGGCTGCATACCACGTTACTCTTCTTTCGGAGCATCTCTTCCCTTTCGACCTGACCGCCCGGTCTTTGTTGTCATCACGCCATTCCCAACCAA